GTTCTGGTTCTGAATAGTTTGTTCTACTCCAGACCGACTGTTTTCTGGTTGACTAAAGTTTCTCAAGGTCCCTTACGATTCGTTCAAAGGCCGTCTATAAATTGCAGTTTTGCCAATATTCTCTATTTTTCCATTACGATATTTACTTCCCATATATTAATAAATACGTTATTCATCACTAGCACTAATCACAAAAGTAACTACTCTACTAACCATTTTACAAATAAGCCACAGCACTTAGAAATCCATGTAAGTTACTGTTACACCTATCCTTTTTTATATCCTCTCCAGACAGCGAAGTCAGTGCGAAGGTTTCACCATTTGGTTATAACGTAAATCACATTAAGTGGGGAGAGAGTTAAGTTCAGGCTGGCCTTTGCCAACGACACAAATATTTTATCATTCAGTAGGGAAAAGTAGTAATCAAAATGTTTCTGTTTTGACAGCGAATTAACTGCTCAGCCTTAGTCACCCACATCCGGCTGCCACATGGATATACAAACTAATATGAAGCTGCATACCGTGATGCAAAACAGCTGCCCATATCAATTCCACTTCGATTACCCACTCAACGTTATTTTCATTCAAAAGTAATTCTACTTATTCTTTCGTGGGCTGGTGAGCTCATTTTGGTGGAACGTGTGGAGTAAGGAAGCCATCCGCACCTTCATCAAGTCACGTTTCTCTAACATCTTCGAAAAAATTTAGTCTCGTCGTTCTCCACCTGGAATTCTTCAGGTAAATAACATTGGCATCAAGCACTTCAGAAGACACTTCTTGACCTTCATGGTCCTCATAACCGAACCGTTATGTGATACAAAGTGAAATTGAAAGTGGTGAGATATAACAAGTGTTTCCAGTATCTGTACAACAACCAGTAGATAGATCCCATTTTTGTGCTTGGCTAATTTGCCTTATCCTTCAGGCTACTAACATACCTTTCTTGAGAGATTTGAGCACGATGAGCAATGTCTTCGAGACAACACACACAACATAGCTCGCAGCTTTTTAGTTCATCTTAGCAAACCGTAGCCTGGGATAGCGCAATAACGTTTTCGTATGACAGCTAGGATCTAGGGGATGCTGATGGGGAGATTTCTCAGCTAAGTCTCGATAAAAGCTTGGAAGAGCTTGGCATTCTTTACCGCATTGGTATTTCACTTTTTTTAAAAACTCCTGGTTCTACCACTATTTTAAAGAACTGTGCTTCATTTTATTTGGCCTCTACTGTGTTTTTGATGAGGTTAACCCTAAAAAATGAGCGTATCCTGAAATGACGATGTCGAAATGTCTTAGTAGATAAGGACGAAGCATACTTCCATCGTCTGACCGTGGATATTGGAGGTAAGCTTTCTGTTGACAAATTTAATCAGAGATCTTGTAATGCCAGACAACCATAGCGAGCATTATGGAAAGTCATGGAAGACAGTATATTATTGGGTGAATACCTTTTGTGCTAGTAGGCAGGAACATGGGCACGAGGTAGCCTTACTCACTACCCCATTTTTTTCTACCACTGAAATAAAGAGAACATGCTTGGTATAATGAGTTTGCAATAAGTAGTTTGAGATGCACATGATACCGCTAAACCTATCATATAAGAGTCAATTTCATTCCTTCCTCTATCCAATTCACACATACTTTTGTAGACTTTTGGAGTGTGAATGCAACCAGTTAACGGTTCTCACTTGAAACAGACCTTTGCCTATGGTTTATTTGTTTAATTGAGCCTACGTGAGTGATCAGGGAATCTACGTACGCGATGCTCCTCGAATTACCTTCTGTAATGGTGAGACTATAATTTATGAACGACGTTTGAGCAACGCTAAATTGACCTAGAGAGTCTTCACCTAATAACTAGGACCAAAAGAAGGTCACAAATTAATGTGAGGAATAAGAATTATGATTTACAGTTGTTGGTTAGGGTTAGGAATTCTATTCAGGGGTTGATCACGAACTGACATAAGCTATAATGCCAAAACTGTATTTAGCCAAATAAATGGGTGAATTTCGCGCCGAAATCCGGGACCTGTTATCTTATACCTGATTGGTTCGTTCATAAATTATATTCCCGCCTCTGTAACATTAAAGCTTTGCGTTCTCCATAGTCCACCAGGCAAATGACTGTTTACAACCTGATATTTTGTTTAATCGTGTCGCCTTGAGATCCGTCTGCAGTCTCGAGATGTTCAAATAATATCAAACATCTATGAGCAAAGAATACCAATAAAGCGGAAGCCGCCATTTGCAATGAGGAGGTTACCGTCATTATCTGTGGTCTAGAATCCCAGTCCTTTAGGACCACCCGAGCCACTTTAAGTTAGAATGCATTTAAGCCTCAAGGATTTCTTTTTTTAGTAGCAGTGGGCCTTTTAGGTATCATGAACTGCTTCGTTGAGAGTAAGGTTTCCTGATTTCCATTGTACGACTGCATTTCCCTTGTCCTCAGCTCTCTATGATTGTTAATGACGCAGTCATTCAATGATACTGATGTTGTGCTCTTATGTTTGCTGCTTCTTAGGCTCGTGTTTTTTTACCTAAGTTGGTTGTGTCAAGTTGTCTTATCCGTGCATTTCCAGATGCTCAAGCACAGACCTGATAGTTGGCATTAGATAACAAACAAAGAGGACTAAATGAATAAGGCTATAGTAATAAAGCCACGTGGAAGCTCAAACAATTTACCATTAGTTTTCTGGAATCAACAAATACTTTTACCGTCTCGTCCTTCAACTTTCTATTGACAAAGGCCTGTTTTCCCGTACAGATCTTTACACACCGCGTTTTGTTCTAATGGTTTATCTGAGTCCCCTTATTGATTGGTTTACGTTCTGCTTGTTAATGGACATACCTTAACTTCTACCATTGGGGGAAATTTGATTGTATCACCCGCATTTAGTCGCTCGTTCTGTTGCTTGTTTTACTTGTTTCAGAGCCGCGAATGTAACACACAGAGAAAAAATTTGAGACGGACGGGTGCCCACCAAGGCTACAGTTTGTACTGTGTGCCACTCTTTAAACAGATTATCACGACTGTGGACTTATGATACATCACCAACATAAAAACCTATTTATTAACTTGTTGGTTTATCTGCATGAATATTCTATCGACATTTTTCACTGTCCTTATATATTTAATAACCCTGCCTAGATAATATCTTATCTATAGACCCATATTCTGAATTATTGATCATGCTGTAATGAAAGAAGCACAAGTGGGGACGACTAAATGTACTTTACCACAAAATTACAGTTATTTGGTAAGATGTGAAAAACATGCGTTCAATCCTCGCCTTTACGTCTGCATCGGATCTTTCTTGTTCATCAATGATGCTGTCCAGGTATAGGAAAGTTTCCACCTGCTCGAAATTTTCCCCATCAAGTTTGGTTGAGTTGGTATTCCTTGCATTGTATTTGAGGATCATGCTTTTTTCCTTATGTTTGTTGAGGCCTACTGATGCAGAGAGCACTTCTCTCAATATCCTTAAAAATTATGGAGCCCCTAATATTCGATGGTCTGCGTGACTACTTACTATCCATAAACTTCATTTCACCGAAACAACACAGTTTCAAGGAGGGTCACTTTCAATACACTTTGACTTCCAAAATACTTTTGATAAGGTCAATGATATTTTTCTCATCAATAAGCCCAAAAGGTTAAGTATCAACTAACCCTTGAATGATCGGTCTACCTCACATCCAAATAATCGATTTCTCATGGTCAGGGTAGGCTTCATTTCTGCTTAGGCTACGGAATATCCTAGTGAGGTCCTTAGAGTTCACTACCAAGACTTCTTTTCTTAATTTATATACATGACCTTTAAACTCTCATCTGGTTCATTACTTTTCGCTGACGATGTGGAACTTGAGAAGGGAGCTTACAACCAAGATAATAGGATGACACTTCAGGAGGATCTGACGCAAATTCAAAGTTGGACAGACGACTGACCTACCTTTAACCCCTTAAAGAGTGAATTAGTTCATTTGAAACCAGTTGCAGACTACGAACACGATTGAGGTAATTTCCCTCTAGAGGTATACCAAGTTGAAAAAGATCTGTGAGTGTCGGTATCCTATGATCTGAAGTCTTACGCTAACTGAAACAAACTGCCTTGCGAGCAAACGTTGAATTGAATTTTCGGCCAGTTCGATGGAAGGACTTTGCACCTAAGCTTCAACGGTTTTATTCGACCCCATTTATGGTATGAGGATATCGTGCTTTCTCTCCCACTCCGAAAGGATAGGAATTCACTCTGTAACGTACCGAACGGCGATCCACGAAATCAGTTCGATGATTCAAATTCAAGCCTTATGAAAGGTGCCTCAAACTACTGAATATTTACCCACTAGGGGATAGGCGTTCTAGAGTTGGCCTTCTAACGACCTAGAGCACCCTCAACTCCTCTAGGCATAACTTTAGACACCTACATAAGCTCACTCCCAACAGAAACTTAGGGGTAACACCTAGAAACTGGAGAAAAAACATAGAACGGACTGTTGAGACACGTTTTTTTCTTTGCAAAAAGTCATATATCAGGAGTCACCTCCGACTGAGACTGTCTAAGAGACTTCCATGGGTCCTTTTAAAAGAAAACGTAACATTCTTACGGAATTGGGACAGCATCTCCCTAGAACTTACTAATATTTCCATTTTTGTCGTTAAATATGCCTAGGCTCCTACCTAAAGAAATCAATAATCTCCTGCGAATAGGCACGGAAGTCCATTAAGCGAAAGCTTTTATTCCATCCAGAACGGTTCGAACCTTTTTGAGGGGCATTACCCCTGGTGTAACACTTAACCATACTTCCCATCCTAAAATCTAGAAAATGTTTCAGAATTATACCTCATTGCAACACAGAGTTCTCTCTTACAACACAGATACACAGAAAAGTTTGAAGTAACTGTCTTGTACAATGCTCATTACATAGTGTCTGTTGTTTAGGTGATTGTACTTTCGCCATCTTTGTCCTACTCGTTTGATTCATTCTCACACAGTAGTCCTATGGCTGACGAAGCTGAGCTTTTGGATTATGAGGATGAAGAGCAAGAAACAGTTCAAGAGGCAAGACCTAATGGAGAAGCTACAGCAAAGAAAGGTGTCAAAGGGGCATACGTCACCATACACAGTTCGGGATTCCGTGATTTCATTCTCAAGCCGGAATTATTAAGAGCCATCGTCGATTGTGGCTTCGAACATCCATCTGAAGTTCAGCATGAATGTATACCTCAAGCCATTTTAAGTATGGACGTACTGTGCCAAGCAAAGTCTGGGATGGGCAAGACTGCCGTATTCGTCATAGCTACACTACAACAGCTCGATCCCGAAGGAGAAGCCAATACAACTGTTCTAGTCCTCTGTCACACAAGAGAACTTGCCTTCCAAATAAGTAAAGAATACGAACGATTCTCTAAATACATGCCAAGATAAAGGTAAGAAGTGAGTACTATATTTTACCTTGAAGGTGGGTGTGTTCTTTGGTGGGATGCCAATACGTAAGGATATTGAAACACTAACAAAATCTCCCGTCCACATCGTTGTGGGGACTCCTGGTCGTATTCTGGATCTAGTGAGGAGTAAAACATTAAAGCTACAACATGTCAAACACTTCATCATTGATGAATGTGATAAAATGCTGGATACGCTCGGTAAGATTATGATACGCAACTTACTTGTATTAGATATGCGGCGTGATGTTCAAGAAATATTCCGCATGACTCCACATCAAAAACAAGTCATGATGTTTAGCGCAACCATGAGCAAAGAAATACGCCCTGTTTGCAGAAACTTCATGCAAGACGTACGTTGTTGCAATGTCTGGCGGAGTTGTCTTATTTCCATTCCCATTCCCACCTGAGCTGGTTTTGCGTTCTCCAAGATGACTTAGATCATCCGTGCCAAGTACAATTTTGATGTGTTTAGTCCTTACTAACTGAGCGTATCAGCTAGCATTTGCTCTGGAACGTTCGAGGACTCAGCGTTCGACCGTGGAGCATGGCAGATGGTCGCTTGGATGTGATTCACATTTGCTTGCCAAACGCATTCGTATGGGCCAGGTGGAGAATCAAAAAGCAGGCAGTTTGACTATTTCTTAATGATTAATGTTTTGTCCATGTATAACGCCCGTGGTTTCTCATTAGCGCCTACTCGGCACTTACTACGTTTTTGTTTTTAGCCGTTGGAAATATTTATCGAGAATGACTCGAAGTTGACTTTGCATGGTCTACGACAGCATTATGTTAAAGTCAAGGAAAATGAGAAAAACAGAAAGCTCTTTGAGCTTCTTGATGAACTGCAGTTCAACCAGGTAAGCTTTGTAAATGATGTTTGCCATGCTAATACTGATGTGGGCTAGTGCCTGATCACATGCGTTTAAGTGCTTTTTTTCTGAAATACCCTTTAAAGCTGTTCATATCGCTTTAGGTTATAATCTTCGTCAAATCCGTTCAACGATGTATGGCTTTGGCTCAGTTACTGGTCGACCAGAACTTCCCTGCGATTGCAATGCACCGTAATATGGCTCAGGAAGAACGTTTGGAACGTTACCAAGCATTTAAGAACTTTCAGAAACGTTTACTAGTGGCTACCAATCTCTTCGGTCGAGGTATGGACATTGAACGTGTCAATATCGTCTTCAACTATGATATGCCAGAAGATTCTGACACCTACCTTCACAGAGTACGTTAGCAGTTCAAAAGTAAAGTAATTCTGATTTAGGTTGCTCGAGCTGGTCGTTTCGGAACTAAAGGATTAGCCATAACCTTCATATCAGATGAAGTCGACGCGAAGGTACTCAATGAAGTACAAAATCGTTTTGAAGTTAATATCAGCGAGCTTCCTGACGTTATGGAGATATCCAGCTACATGGAGGACCGATAATTTGTATTTACCTGTACATTGTTTCTACTTCTGTCTATATTTCAAATACAAGTATTTATCAACCTATGGTTTTTCCATCAGGAATTGTCTTCTTAATTCTTAAGCTAGTTTTGTTTCGAAGTGCCGAAGTAGGAACTAATTTGGAAATTCAAACAATTGCAAGTTTTGAGCCCACCCGAGTAAACTACATACAGTTAAGCAGTAGTAGCTTATGAATACATCCTTAGGTATCCCGACGTACTTGGCTACATGGTTCCATTTGTTTATTGAGTACGTAAGGGGCTTGTTGCTTTAAGTCATCGTCAGTGAGATATCGCACACCCATCAGGTTGGCCTTGCTCTTGTAGTTGCTCCAGGGATGCTGCTGTCCGTCTCTGCTGTGCTTGGTGCTGGTCATCGACTGGGTCCTAGGGACCTGACGAGCATAAGTCACTCTTTAGGTTAAACAGTATCCTCCCATCCACGGTGGCAGGGTACGGTTATATGAATTCGGTCGGCGTTGGTCTTTAAACTATTTTTTCCTGACATTCAGGATTTGCTGCATGCAGTACGTTTTGGTTATGGTGGGATACCCATGGCCTATCCACTTTGGGCGGAACGTTAACACGACTGGCTAGTCATCTTGATGTTATTCCTTGTATGTAACTGTTGGGTTCGGTTGATTGAACTAATTGTCATTGGTAGTAGGCTGCAAAGTCTTCCTGTGAGGCATTTGCGGCACGGGTCTCGCACCAGACTAGCAAGTGCCAATTGGTGTGTGGGGTCCGATCTGTTAGGGCTTCAAGCAGTGACGTAAAGTAGCTGTAGGACTAACACCAATAGATTTGTAGTAGTAACGTGGGCGAACATGTCTCTCCATTTCATTGGTTATCTAGACTTATGCTCATGTTACTTCAAATGGTGAGAATCCATCTTAATTCAGTCTCCCGGTGTTTCTGGGAGAATTATGTCATATAACCTCGTCCAGCTCAACCGACGGTGATTTTTCCAATATTAGGTGCTGTCGGTTCGTGGCACTCTTATTAACCTTACTAGTTTCATGAGTGGTGTTTTGTGTGGGACCAAGTAACTGCAGTCGTGTGCATACAAAAAGGAGGACGTCAAGAGACTGATGTTCTTACCACCACTGAGGAAAACTATAAAAAGGTTTATAACCAAGAATATTTCCAGTTGTCTCGTACAACGAATGCATCGTGTAGTTTTAAGGGATGTTATTATCCGTAAGATTATTGCGTGGGTCGTTACATATTAGTCGAATATTGATAGGATTAGTACTGCCTCTCCTGTGTTACACGTACGTCAAGAGGTTCGAAACACAAACCGTAGGTATGTTTCTGTTCAAATTACATTTCCTGATCCTCAATCCGATCCTATAGACACCAAATGGTTACATTTATCTCATGAGCTTCGTTTACCTGGTACAAATAATGCAGCGGACGGTCCATCGTGTTTTTTGATCAACGTTGCGTGGTCATCAATACTAATAAGCTTACGTTTAAGGGTTTAGCCGTAGGAAGTTACTTCCAGATGTAATCGCCCTCATCAATGAGTCTAGGTATCTGCCAATCTCAAAACAATTTAGTTTTTATTTTCAAGTTTCATTGGAATTGTAAAAACTAGTTATTACTGTAAGGGTTCGGGGAGATTACGGGATCTCATAACTGGCATCATAAATTGATCTAATCTAGTAAAGCAGTGAAAGTCAAAACAGTGAGTAGCTGTTTTGTCGTGAAGGTCTTAGGTCCAATCAGCTTTTGGGTCGTGGATGTTTGGCGCTGCGAAGTATTGTAGTAGAACGAAACGGGTGTTCGATGGTTATCTAGTCAGTAAGTTCACGATTTAAATTACAAAGTTAGCTATTTTATGCCTGAGACTTCTTAAGAAATATATCTAGATAGGAATGTTCTGTCTATAGCTGAAATAATGATCATAGTTCTCCAGATATGATTCTTATAACATGACAAGATCATACTAATTGCCTTCCTTTCTTTACTTTCATTTTTTGTGTGAGTTGATTTATTGAATAAACTTAAGGTAGTAACGATGGCTTATATTTATTTATTTATTTTAACACATAAATATTGGTACAAGGAGGCACCAAATACATATGCGCCGCACAAATCTCATTCGATATGTATGAGGGCTGTGATACTGCCCGGGTGCTCAAACCGAAGCAGGTGGTTTTCTTAGGGGGCCACTCCCCGAGCCTTCGACTCGAAGGTCTGATCCACAAGGCAGTGGGGCATCGTATGGAGATGCAGTCCTATGGAAGCCGGTGACCAACAATTGGTTCATACGCCATTTGTTCCTGCAGGATACTGGAGCCCATGTGCACCATTGATTTGGCTTATAAGATAATTAGGTTTCTCTTCGTGTACTTTGGTCTATAAAGTAAACAATGATGTAACAATGAGTCTGTTTACGTTAATCATATAGTCATGGTAGCAGCCAATGGCTCCCACACTGAATGCTTGTATCCACACGTCTTGTAAGATATCCAGCGTTTATTAGGTACCCTAATTTCCTTTGAGTAGGATTGTTATTATTTACAGTTCCACTGAGGTTTTATGTTATGTTTGGTAAACTAATACATTGTTCAGTCGTTGCTGTGCTTGTTAACTGGATACATCTTTGTGTTTATTTGTCCAGAGATTATATAATTGCGTTTTTACCCAGCGACTTCCCTGTTTGTGTGCTCAGTCAATGTTTATTTTCATAAATAATAAAACCAGTTATCATAATTTCCCAGCTAGTGTACCATTAAAAACTAACAGTCTACACCCACAGCCTGTCAAAGCATCGAACCCAAAACATTCAGGTGTCAAGTTGAGCCCCATACCAGAACGAACCATCTATTCAGTATTATCTGGTTCTCAATGACATCCCAACTGACATCATTCTGTGAAGAATACAATCTACAAATCAGACCAATCTTCGCAAGACCCCTTCAACTAAACCGCCAGAGTTCTCTTTTATTGTTGGTTTTTATGATTTCGAGCGGTAATTCTGATTGTTGTACATATATCCTGCTCGTTTATATTTCCAGTTTTATGATTCACTGGCTTTTTGCTAAAATGAATAGAATTTTTTGAAAGGTTAATTTCTAGTCAACTGAACAACATTCCGTTCTTCTCTATTCTGTATAAATCATTTTAAAAAAATAAAAAGGTAAACCAACAATATTTACAGAATAAAATGAATTCATTCTACTACAAGTCAGTTTTCTTATAAACTATAAAGATACTATTCCCCTATAGTTGATCCCAATATCAACGTGGAGTGAGAAAATATGGTTTCTCCATTAACTTCATGCATACTGATAAACTTAATCATGTTTATCAATAAAATACTGAAGTGTTTTATGTAATTATACCTTATACATGTGAGAACAGCAGACGAACGAGAAAGCGAAAATATTAAGTATGGAAACTAAATAGACGAAGATAGGAGAAGCAGTAAGAACTGAGTTAAGTCTTTCTTTTCAACTGGATTTTCTCTTATCATGTAATATGATTGTTCATTTATTTCTTGGTTTTAATTTGCCATTTAATTTCTTCATAACATTTCTACATTTGATCAACACGATTTTTGGCACTCCATTGTTTTAGAATATATATATATATATATATATATATATATATATATATATATATCGAAATACTTGTTATAAGGATCGAACAATAAAAAATCCGAAGAAACATAAATGTGCATTAAAGTAAACTGTGGGCGATTACTTATGAGAACTAAATTATTAACAACAAATTCCCGACATGAATAAGTGAATAATAATATGAAAATACTGGTCACTGGGCTAACTAATTCATACACAAAATGTTGAACTCTGAGTGAACTTTAATTAAAAGTTATTATAGGTTAATTGTCAACTAACGAAATTAAAACTTGATAATTACAATCAGTTTATGAGTATTGTGAATTCCCACATGTCTAGTCTAAACATAATATCATAGTATTGAATAAGTTCACTAAAAATAGATGATCTGTTCGACTTTTTATGATAATAGACAAATAACCATAAGTATGACAACTCCTAATTAGACTGAGTCAATAAGAATATTTTTGTTTTATTTTTGTAAATAAAATAATAAAATAGGGTTGTGGTGTATGTTACTTATGTCGACGGAAATAAGTAGTACGTAACATCTGTCGGAAGTGGAAAAACTGGCAACAGAAGGCTAAGAATATTGAGTTGAAGAGAATAGACTGGAAAATAGAAAGGAATTGTGAACTTGAAGAAATATACAGCATGTTGAGGGCACATGATGGAGATTTGCAAATGATGTATTTAGTGTATTGTTCTCATATTTTAGCAAGATATTCTGTAATTGTGTGGTATTAGAAAGAAATAATGATTACTTTGTACTTGTTGAATGCTTGATTTCGAATTCCAAATACAGTACATTCGTTCGTGCTTATCTTGTACTTCTTGATTCAATTGCGTTGTTTCTGGAATACTATAATTCAAATACTCCTAATTATCATAAATTTTTGGTTGACTGTTTCCACCTGAGTGCTTGTTCATTACAGGGTCTCCTTTTTTTACATAGGACAAAACTTTTTGTCAGTCCCTCAGATCACCTGTTCTTGTGTCCACTTTGACTTTGACTTCATCGATTAACCATATATATGACTTCTGTTAAGTCGTTGGTCTTTGAGGCCCTAAAAATTGGATATAATTAGATTCTGACTCAGTGGTTGAATGAAACCATGCTTTGGTGGTAGTTTCGAAGTTTATGGGTTCGAGTTCATGTTAGATCATGAGTAATCACTAGAAAATACGTACTGATTGTCTATAGCACTTTAACTGTTGGAGATTTCCCCAGTTATCTACAAAATGTGCTCGAAGCCAATTCAGTACGTTAAATGAACCATCATTTTGACTGGCCACATGGCCAATAACTGGAGCAGTGCAGTCAAGGCAGTATATCAGGTTGTGGTATAGATTAGAAAGCGCAATGTCAAAATTATTTGTGGTAAAATAA